CAAAACTAAAACCATCCGCACCTTTTATGTTCGTGTCAGTTTTTCCCTGTCATGGCCATGGCCATTTTTTCCAAGCTCCCTTGGATAAAATAATAAATAACTAGCTCAATTTTTAGTTATGAAAATAAGATTATTTAGACTGTAATTCTCTGTAAGATATTTCAATGATTTTAATTTTAATCACGCAAAAAAGCACTGCTATCGTTGCATACATCAATGACAGCAATAGTATCGAGGTTAAAATTTTGACCCTTATTATGCACATGCGCAAGGTAATTCCTGGTGATCCTTGTTAGTGTGGACAGAAGACATTTTAATCGTTCTTTTGTTTTTTTAAATATGAACTGGAAACTTCTGCTACATTACGTTTCAATGTGTCGCCCTAATAACATGAATTAGCCTTAACATAGAGCTATTCGCTATTTTTATGACATTACATTTATGAAAGCTCTATTAATCAAATGAGCCTCTTTTTCTTGTGTAAACACTGTTGTGCTTGACCTCGTTCAAGATATCTGAGGTCATTCCATGGCTTACGATGGAGTCCCGAGAGGTACTCAGCTTTAAATTGCGCGCGGTCAGTTTGGTTTGCGCTCAAGGAAACAAGTATTTTCTGTGCGTAACACTTTTTTTTGGTATCGGTACACTTTTAGACCAAATCTACATACAATGCTGTCCGTTTCTTTGAGAGTGATGTGAAGCAAAAGAGAGAGCTCTTACAGCTTTGTCTTCCACTTGGGTTTAAACGATCAAATCATTTAGTATTCTTTTCTTTCTTCTTACTGAAGACACTTTGTGAATATAGCCTGTGATAACTCCCTTTAGGCCTCCCTCTTTTACCACTGGCTCTACAGATAATAAAAGAGTTATGAATTACAGATGTCAGATTTTAATAAAAGCAGTCTTGTACAGGGAATCACAGCAACAAGAGTTCTGCTTGTTACTGAATAACTGACAAAAACGTACAGTCGAACCTGTATTAAGCGGCATTACATTAAGCGGCCACCCTATTGAGTTGTCGGTTTTCAAAGTCCCGAAAATGTTGCCCCCTTTAATTAGTTTAATTTTCACCTCTTTTAGGAGGTCACCTATATTAAGCGGTTTTGGCATGAATAAAACACACAGATTTCAACAAGACGACTTCCGTAAAATATTTTACTGAAGTAAAACAAAGATAGACACAATTTGGATACAATTTGCGACGACTTCTCGCT